GCATATATAACTTATTGATTTATGTATATGATCAATATACCGATTTAATATAATATAATATAACTGTAAATACTATCGCTATTTTGATCCTATTACTGTACTAATTTCGGACTATCAAATGGATCGGAAACGGTCGGCGATCACGAGACCGCGACATTTTTCTGCCACCACTAACCTATCTTTTCAATTATTGCATACGTTTTATACAAGTTTTACATTTATCCTTTATATTTATCTCCATTGCGTAAAATTCCTGACCCACCTGTTTATAATTTTATTCTTGGACATTATGCTTCTTCTTATTTTTCAAATAAAGAGCTAGGCGAAGCATTTGCTCATTTATCAAACCAATATGGTGGGATTGTTAAGTATCATGGTTTATTTAATGAACCATATATATTGATTTCCGATCAAAAGCTTATCCAACAAATACTAGTAAATCGCTCTTATGATTATCCAAAGTTCTTCTTAAGCAAAACTATAATTAAAGATTTATTTGGTGAAGGTATTGTACTTGCAGCAGGAAATTCTCATAAACGACAAAGAAAAGTGATGACTCCTTCATTTGCTTTTGCCAATATTAAGGTATCATCAATAATACGATCTGTAAAAAAACTCATTTAATATAAATTACATGTACTGTATATCTAATTTTTTCGATTTCCCTTATTTTAAGGAAATGGTTCCAACATTTGTTCAAGCTGGCCATAAATTAAAAGATATCTGGATAAAACAAATTGGTAATAATAAAGAGGAAAGGATTACGATTACAGAATCAATTCCAAAGATAACTTTAGATGTTATTGGTCTTGTTGGTATGCATTAATCTGTATTTGCTCTAAATGGTTAAATTTTATCAATGACGTTTCTAATTATAATTAAATTATTTTAATGTAAATTAGGATTTAATTACGAATTCAATTCTATTACTTCAGAATCTGAATTAGCTCAAGCATATAAATTATTGGTTAATTATAATCGTTCACCTTTATACATGGTTCTAGTTAATCTCTTTCCATTTATCAGAAATTGCCAACCTCCTATAATGTAAAATATTTTAATTCTCTTAAAACTATTAATGATATTTCGGAGAAACTAGTTACAGATCAAAAAAATAGTCCTATGCGAGGAACAGTTTTATTGTCATTATTGATAAAGTCAAATGATAGCTTACTCATCGACGAACAATTAACACATAGTGAATTAATAGTCAGGTATGAATTATTTATTAATATATATAATTTGTTTTAAATATATTATTTAAAATATCAAATATATAATTTGATTAAATTTATTTAAAATATAAATTTATTAAATTTTAGGTTATGACATTTCTCATATCTGGACATGATACTCAAGATCGTCTTCATAAAGAATTGTCTGATGTATTAACTGATCATGATTATTATCCAACTGTTGATGAGATTGAACAATTGAAATATTTAGATTGTGTCTCTTAAGGGTCACTCCACCTGGTAAAGTTTAATTTCTTTATAATTTGAGTTATTTTTTTTTGGCCTTATATTATTCTCATCTTTTTTATTTATTAATTAAAGTGTCTGGACTACTTCGAAAGATGAAATAATGAATGGTTATCTTATTCCAAAGGTATTTTCATAAAAACATTTCATGATTAAATTTACTTTATAACAAAATAGTATGTAACTTTAACCTTTTTTTCTTTAAGCAAACTAGATTATGGATTTCTATTTATGCAATCCTGTCTAGCTTGTCAACGAAGTGACATGGCTAGCATTATTGCGAGATCAGAAGATCTCATGTCATGTGCAGAACTGG